GTTGCTGCAGGGGAAGGTGCCACAATGGACTGCAGGGTCTCCATCGTGGCAGAGAGCACTGGTGGTACCACGTCCCCTCTCTCATCTCCCCCACTGCCCACGGCACATCTGGAGTGGTCTCCTGCAGTGCTCAAGCTGCATCCAACATAATTGGCTGTAGGCTTAATGAAGATTGAATGCCAAAGAAAGTCCCTGTTCTGAGCAGGATGATTGCCTCATGGTTGTCAGTGACTGTGTGGTCTGTGTGGCTGTGCAGGGCTGTACCATAGCCACAGCCCCGGTGCTCACAGCCAGGTGAGCAGCACCAGTGAATAGAGGAGAGCTGAGCACCACAGCCTGGAGCCAGAGCTGGGCATGGGCAGTGGGCAGCAAGAGTACTGCTGGGCTTCACATGCCAATGCAGGCTGCGGGTGGCTTCTCTCAGCTTGCTGACAGCCTGCTTGAGTTTGAGATGGGTGAACTGCACAGAATGCCCAGGCAGGCGGCACCCTGTGAAGCCTTGGCTCCATGCAGATGGAGCAGCAGCAGCTCGCGGCGGTGGGTGCCCATGTGGATGTGGATGGGGTGTGCTGTGGGTGCAGCAGGGTCCAGCGCTTCACAGCACGGGTGAGAAGCAGACTGCAGATTTGGCAGGAGCAGGGGAGCAGCCACCAAGATGCACTGAGCTAAACCAGCTTCACTTTGCAGGTTTGATTTTTTCACGAGCCACCAAAGAAAACGCTGCTCTGAGAGCTGAGCTGGAGCTGGGAATCCCTCTCCTGTCCCTGCCTCTGGCAGCCCATCCCTCCGCTGCCTGCACGCACCCCGGCAGGATCCCACCCGCCCTGACAGCTGCTGCCTCCGGGCTGGGGAACCGCGTTGTGGTTCCACGGAACCCGGCTCACCAGCCCCGGGGATGAAGGGCTGGGACTGCCGGGGAGCAGTGGCTGAGCCAGGCCCCAGACACGGCACACTGGAACCTGGGGGCTCTCCCCTGCAACAGGGGAGCTGCCTGTGCAACAGGGACTCCCTGAAGCCATCTGGAGGATGCATTAAGAGCAAGCATTGCAAAGCGTTGCTCTGGCTTTCCTCTCGCTAGCAAGGGGAAAACCACCAGCCTGGAAATCTATTCTGGTCTCGCATGTGTCTCAAGTGGAAAATTTCAGCTGTGCTGATCCAGGCTGTCGGGGTTACGGGAGGTGAGGCCTGCCTGCCGCTGGCTCCGCACGCAGGGAGGGACGGAGATGGCTCCGCAGGCGCCCGTGCCTGCCACGCGGCAGCGGCTCCGGTGGGGGGAGACGGGAAGCGTGAGCCCCAGCTGCACCCCTCAGAGGAACGGCAGCCGCTGCTGCCTCCCGGGCAGGATAAGCGCAGCCCCAGCGGCCTGCCTGCGGGGGAATGTCCTTCCTTCCTTCTTGTGCCCTGTCTCCAGCTGCCGTCACTCGCCCCGTGCAGCCCATGGAGGGGATGTACCAGCAGGCACGTCCATCCTGCAGGAAGGACACGAAGCAGGGGAGCGGGCAGCGGGGGGTGCCTCAGGGTCAAGGACAGAGGGAGGAGGAGGAGGTATCTTCACTCCTCGGCCTCCCCATCGGTGCTGGTGACCCAGGGACCTGGACGTGGCTTCGGGACCTGGAGCTGGCTGGGAACTTGCTGTTGAGGCGTTCATTGTTGGAAAATAGTAGTAATTTGTTCGAAGTGAAACTTCCAATGGGAATGTTCGTGTGTGTGTGGCAGACCAAGTCCCCCATCCTGCGTCCCAGAACCTGTCGCACATCCCCACCCTCCAGGTGCTACTGGCATGGGTAGGTCAGTCCCCAGCCCCACGCAGAACAGGAATGTTTTGAATCCTCAGGCAACTTGGAACAGAAATGGCTTTTCCAGCCAGCCCCGTCCACAGCACCTTCCAGCGGGGCTGAGCTGGGTGAGCCAGCACCGCTCAGGCAGTGGCACAGCTCAAGCTGAGAGGAGGGTTCCTGACCCGCTGTCGCAGGATCACACCGTGATTCCGTGGGGAAGAGGCCCCGGGAGGTCTCTGGTCCAGGGTCAGACGCTGGTTCAGACCGAGCTGCCGGGGGCTTCCCCCCACCGGGGCTGGAGAGGGGCAGCCTCAGCGCGCACCCCGCGGCAGTGCTGGCACATCCAGAGCCGTGTCCGGGGGCAGCGGAGGAGCGCGTTTAAACACCACACGGCGGCTGCAGTGTGCGAGCGGGAGGGCGCGGCTCTCCGGCTGCTCTGGAGCACGCAGCCCGGCCGCACGGCCTCGCTGCCCTTCCGGGACCTCGGCCACAGCTGCTGCTGGAGCACGCACAACCGGCGCTGAGTAACGGGGTCAGCGCTGAGCCGGTGGGGGGCACGGAGGACTGGGGCTGGACTCTCCCCTGGCCCCCGCCAGGTCCCATGGGGGCGGCTGGAGCTCCGTGTGCTGGCACGGAGGACACGGGAGCCAGCAGCTGCTCCAGTGCCGCACTTCAGACGCTGCGTCCAAGCAACAGCTGCATAGGGCTCACTGGGTACTTGGGGTTTTCAAAGGGGTTTGCTGGGTGGAAGCTGGAGTCCATCGCTTCTGCTGCTGCCCAGCACAGCCCTTTGCCATCTCTGCATTCACACAGATGCACAAGTGACCTCAGGCTGTATTGCCACTGCTGAGACCTGAAGCATCAGCTCCCCTCTGCTTCACCACCTTAACAGCTGGTATTTCCATTTGACAAGTGTCATAAATCGGTGACACAAACACCTGCACTTTTCTCCTAATGCTGTGAAGAAGGCTTATGTTCAGAGGCTGAGCAAAACACAGAGTCAGGATCTAAAATGTGCGAGTGGGGCTCGCCAAGTCACGCGACGAGTTCTTGAGCCTTAGTTTTTCCTCCCATCTTTGACTGACACCAAGTATTTATCATGTATTGAAGTAGCAGAGCAGGACATGTGCTGTTACACAACGCATGTTTAGCAGAGGTTGTGGCCTGCACTACTGCCCACTGCAGCAGTTCAATCAGAGGACACTCAAGCACTACTTTCAATAGAGCTTACGGGAATGGCAACAAACACGGTTTGGAGGAAGACCCCTGTGACAGGAGCTGCAGCTCTCAGCGCAGAGATGGTGATGTCAAGGAGGAGGAGCCGGTCAGGCGGAAGGCGGGGGAACTCGGTCCTGCTGCCGCTTCCCCGAAAGCTGCTCTTCTCTCCTCAGGCTGACAAATGCCGTTAGCCTTGTCCTGAGCAGCTGAGAGGGCAATCCTATTAATCCTCCTAATTCAGATTAAAGACTCTAGTTGCAAAGAGATTAGAATGTAAGGTGAGAGCTTGTTATTCCAGGGACAGGGACTGCAGTAAGGTGGGGGGGGGTCCAGGGGTCCACACCACTCCCAGGCATGCAGAGCAGGCAGGCACCCCTGTGTCAGGCTCTCAGGGCATAGCCCCACAGTCCTGGGTTAAAGAGATCCTCATTCCCTGCTCTCAGTACCAGCACTGGCCAGCCCGCTCCTAGCACAGCCTGCAGGCCATAGAGTATACGTGAAGAGGTACAACAGCCCATAGTGAATCCAAGACACCTGCTTTTATTCTGACCAACATAAGGCAGCTGTGCAGTGGCTTAGGCACATGAGAACATAGAAACACGTTCTCCTGTTCCCAAGGGATAATTGGCACTACCAGTGACATGTTTTCTTGGGTTGCAGCCTTGGGTCTTCCATTGGACATGGGCACCCCCAGGCTCCCTTAGTTCCAAGCATTATATAGAAACCAATTCACATTTTCCAAGTAAAATGCTGAATGACAATTACCATATGAACAGCAACTTGTGCAAATCAAATTGAAATACATACTGTGCTCAAACTCTAGGCTGTTTTTAATAGCAAACTGTCTTCAAATACAATGACTTTTTCTTCTCTGATCACTCTATCAATCCTGTTATCTTAGGCAGCTTGCTTGTATTTAACCAAAAACCATGCAGCAGTCCCCATTTTGTCTAGACTGAGACCTCAACTGGTAGACAAGCACATATCACTTCTTGAAACGTGGGTATTGCTGGTAACGTTAAAGAAAAAACTAAAACCACATAGCTTTCCCACTATCACTATTTACTCCCTTTCCTACATTGACACTTAATTCCAGTAGAAATTTTTAGGTTGCATCTTCAACACAGAAGCCCTTTTGTACCTCTTTTAGCTGGCTTGTAAAACTGTTCTGACAAGTCTAAATTGAGACTCTCCAGTTCCCACCAGCTGGCACTCATGTAAAATAATACACTTGCAACCCAAAGGTAGAAATATTACCTCCAACTGAAGTGTTTAGAAAGTCTCCGTTACTGCAGGATCCAGAGCTTAGTGCATCATTTCAAAGCTGTGACAACCCTTCTCCTTCCCCCAGTTTGCAAGTGGGGAAATTAAAATGAAAAATAAGACCTCGAGAAAATCTGGAGGCTCCAGTAACAAAGCAAAGCTCTGAACTGTGTCAGCAGTCCAGTTACTGATTGCAGTTGACACCTGCACTTCTAGTGGTGTGCTTTACCTTTCCTTTGTGGAGGTAATACTTGCATCGAGTGCAAGAGAGTGCTGAAGACTGGTGTAGCCCTTCTCTTATGGGTCAGCACTGTACAGAATGAGCTGAAGTCTGAAGCCAGACTATTCAATAACTGCCATTAGAAAGAAAAGAACAGAGCTAAAGGGTCTGTGCCAACCTGCAGAGTTGCACTAGCCCACACTGCCTTGGGGACACTAGTTGTGGGCTGGCTAAGAGCACCGCCCCGTCTGTACATGTGTCTAGTGCAGGTTTGCTGTTTGGTGTTCAGACCTGAACCCAGTGTCACACACTAAAAACACACCCCAAGTGACGTGTTTGCCTTCTGGGAACTTGTATGACTTTCACTTCATGCAGGTTTAATCAACCTCCATTTTTTTCAGTTTAATACAAAGCTGAAATAATGGACTAGACCACAGAAGGATTCTCAAAGCACTCCTGATACATCTGTTGTGTAGCTGCCTCGTCTGCCTAGCCCCTCCCAAAGTTAGCCTGAAAAACAGTAAAATCTACACAAAGTTTTATTGCAGTCATACAGGGGATACATCAAGGGTCAAATACAACAAATACTATGATGCAATTTTACATTTATTAAACTACAGTTCAAAGCACAAATTTACACATTCTAAATACACTAAACATCTAATGAAGTCACACTGGTCTCCCACTGACATTTGATATATCTGGGCGAAAGACAGTAACTTTACAAGACTTTTCTAACAGGAATCCTTAGTATAAAAACTGTGTACTTGTATGTAAACTGTTGAAGAACCCAAGTGATGGGTTTCCATCTCCACTAAGTCATCCATTTTGTTGCATATTTAAACGCTCAGGGGTTGAATGAACTTGATTTTTAATTTGGACACCATTATCTAACCCTCCCACCCCCCCCGTGAATTGTAGCTGTAGCTTGTTTTGCCTGGTCCCCATTAGCTATTATTAATTTTTTTCAAGTTTTGAAGAGAATGAATTGAATTCAAGATTGTTCCATTTCTTCCACACTGGAATGTTGACCAGACAAACTACAGACTTGCAACTGCAGGTCTAAATGAAGCGTTAATGCCTGTTTAAGCTGCAGTGGAAAAGCGGTCTTCTGGGCTCAGCTGAATGCACGAAGGCACAAAGAAGAAGTTCTTCATCAATGTGTCTGAAGCAATTCCAGCATCTTGCATCTCATCCCTGCAGCAGACAATGGTGAGAGTTGCAATAAGGTGTTATCATGTACAATTTCGTATCAGAAGCATTAGAAGCCTGCTGCCCTGGGCAGGTTGGCCCCGGTCTCAGCAGCAGGGACCGCCAGCCATGCTTGGCAGGCACAGGAAGGCCACAACTGCACTGGCGGAAGCACAGGGCTCTGGCTGCCTCAGTATTGGAACAGGCTCCCCAACTCTCACCATCTCCACAACAGCCTCACTGCCCTTCCTGCCTACAATGATAGTGCTAACAGTGTACACAAGTTGCAATTACCAGTATTAGGAAAGCTCAGAGATCGATGTCAAACAGTAAAAAAGGCTTGACAATTACCACTGTGCTCACAGTCAGCACTAGCTATTTTGCTTTCCCTTGTCAACCTTGAAGCGAAGCAGGCATGGTGTCACAGCTCTTTAGTCTAAGCAAAGTCAGACATCAGTAAGAAATCAAACACCCATGAACTAAAAACCCACCTTCTTGTACTCGGTTCCATCTTCCTGTATTCACCATCAAATATGATTTACATTTGGCTGTAAGCATACCCGCGGGAAGTAAAAACAATCTTGCCACTATCAAGACAATTTCCTTACCAGTCACTGAAAGACATCATGTAGTAAATCAGTGGCCTCTGATAGTCGTTAAAGGTAGACTGTTCACCTAAGGTACCAGAACCCATGTTATCAAAGATCAGCCAATCTCCAACGCTCAACTCAGGAAGAAGACAGTTTTCCACAATTTGATCAAGCTCATCACAGGATGGACCCCAAAGGCTACTTGCAAACAGAGGCTCATCTTCCTTGTATTTCTGTATGGGAATGATTCAGGTAATTCAGGCTTCAGTTTATTGAATAACACAATTTTCAAATATACTTAAGGATAATTTTCTAAATAATAGTATACTACTACAATATAATATATACTATTATCATAATAGTATAAATAATTATATACATATGAAGAGTTAAATATACAACAAAATATAAGGCTAGTAAGGACTACCTCTGAAGAATACAGAAGGACTCACCTTGTGAACCTCTGGGATAGTATTCAGTTTCTCAGACAATTTACTTGCAAAAGAACCATAAACACCATCATTTATGTAATATGTAAATACTGGTTCATCATCATTCCTGGTTTGCTCCACTGGAAGTAAAAAAGAAGTGGTCTTGCATGCATTTTTGGTCATAAGTAGTCCTTTTGCAATCTAACTTAAGTCAACTGCTTTTCCTATCAAGGGGGTTCCGTATATACAAGCAGAGTAATCTGTGTGAGACCAGATTATAAATTCAGTTACAACATTAAGTGTGAGGTTTAATAAAATGAATACGGTCACTAATAATCAGTTAAGAATATAAATCCATTTTTTTCTCCTGTAACAAAGAAGTGGCTGTCTCTATGTTCTTCTAACACAGAACCTCCTAATACATTTTGAAAAGCACCCAATATAGGTTTAACCATTGAGAAGTCAAGCCTTGCAAGGAAACAAGTGTTACATAAATGTAATGAAGAAAGTGACATTTACAGATAAGGTATGGTCAGAACCCCAAAGGCAGATTATAGTGCAAATGTAAGGGAATGAATTAAATACGCACTAAGACAAACTAGTCCAATCTGACCAGAAGAGGGCAATTCTATACTGATTCATAATATGTAGAAGATAAATAAGACCCTTACCTCCAGAAGGAAGAAGTTTATCATACTCAACAGTCTTCTTCGCAATGATGTTAACTGCCAGTGTAAATGCAGATGAAACGTAGTAACACCCGGGCTCTGCAATCACATTAACACCAGATTCCTTAGGAAAGTAGACATCCAGCAATGGCCTGATGACGTGATTAACCTAGAAATGGAAGTCAAAGGTAAGACCAAAGAAACTCAGTTTACTTATGTATCAGACACACACACACGTTCAGTCAGCAACAGTTCTAGTAAGCACACCACAGGCCTGTGCTGTTCCTCTCCTCTGAGAGATGGTCTTAGCACAGTTCCAGAATTTACAGAAGTGTTTAAAAAATGGGTCATTCTTCTCTACACTGAGCAACATGAGTCTGAGTACTGCACAGGCCCTCCTCGCAGACAAAGTGCAAGCTGTGGTACACACAAGACCCCACAAGTAATTGTGAAGTTTGTCCAGCACAACAGATAGTTCAAAATTACATAGTAATCCACAAGAACAAGGAAAGGGCCTTTCTCCTATCAGTTCTCAATATTGTTGTATTAGGACAGAATCCTAAACCAGATATTTGAAGATTAACAAGCGTTCTGAGCAAGTAACAGAACAGTTAAAACGAAGAAAGAAAAGCTCTTAATAACTTTTCACTGAATCATTTTTGCTGTCCTACACTCAAGAAGTTTGTCTTGAAGACAACATGACAGTGTAAACAGGCTATTGTCTTATGTGCCGCTGCGCACTAACAGCTCCCATTTAGGCCAAAGCAAAGGCCAGCCAAACCAAAGTACCAGCAACTTTCATACAGCAGCAATACAGTTTTGATCTAAAGCATGTTAAGCAACCCTGGCCCAAACCACAAAACAAGGTAACCAGTTGGACAACAACAGTCAACTGCCAAAGATGTTGAATTGTTAAAGTGGCTTAGGGTAGTAATTTAAACGTGACATGTTCAAGTCAGCATTCACCCACTGTGAACAGGGACCTCCAATGACTGATTTCACTACCCATGATAAGGAATATAAATCCAACTATTAGGATCTTATGAACTGGAACACAGAATTTAGAGTAGGTTTCAGCTATCAATGTTAGTTGCAGTTTGAAGGTTAAACACTTAAACTTCCTAAATAAAAAGGAGTTCCAACTTCTAATACATCACATACCTCTTCCAGCTGAAGTTCGGAACCTGTGAAGCCCCCACCAATATCCAACATGTTCATCTTAAAGCCAAATTCTTCCTAAAATGCGTAGGCAGAATGTAAGTACACAGCCAACTACAACTGTAAAAACACTCTTTTGCTGCTCCTTACTGTGGTTGTTTTCTAGGTATTTATACTTTTGAACAGAGCACATCTAGTGAGGGAGTAACAGCATCATAAAAATTAGCATAGCTCCATTAAACCTGGTAGTGACAGCACTGGGATGTCAGCAGAGGCTGGCTGCACAATTCTCAAGTCCCACAGCAACATCAGCTCCCATATTGTGGCATTTGTTATATTCAGACAGTATTTGCTGAGCAGGGTGGGACATTCTGACAAAAGACATTTTAGGAACTTACAAATATGCCTAATGCAAGTCTTTGGAAAGTGCTGATGTGACAAAACTGCTGCAGTGAAACTGCACGAAGATCAGTGAGAACTTCAGTTCTGTTGTGTGTCACCAGTCACAGCTAATGCACTAACTGCAGTAACAAGGGTAAAGACTTGCAGTCTTCTCCATTTAGTTTATAAACTTCTCAGAGGAAGACAGATGTTCACAGAAGGGATTTTTGAATTTTGCAATACAAGAGATACACACAGAACATAAGACTCACAAGAGTCATCTGAAGCACCCAATAAGTCCATTGCTTTCCATCCAAATTTGGATAGCCCACCGCCAACATAACCCTTTTATTCCTTACGATGCTTAGTTATTAATCTGAGATTACCTACACCAAATTAGTGGTTATATGATGATAAATGCCAATGTAGAAATCCTTAATATTTTAATATAACTTGAAAACATCAACTGTGTATTTGCAGAACTAAGATTTGAATTTGAAAATCTTTTAACAGAAGTGGGAAACTAACTTTTTATTTGCAAACAGTATACAAGGCTACTGCCTGTCACTGGGACAGTATTCCCATTTGTGGACCTTTGTCCACAATTAGGGTTATGAAGTTTGTTTCACCTCTACCACTTCTCATAATACAGTACTTAGTCCCTCACTAGAACTTCCATTTCCTACACTGATATATTTTGGAAATAATGATTAGAACAGAATGGATCCTCTACTGCAGCAATTGCATGTGTGCGTGCATCTACTTACAGCCATGTCAAACACACACCGAGCATCAGAGATAGCATGAATGTAGGTTTGCAGTTCCTTGCAAGAGCCTGAAACATGAAATCTGAAAGAAATAAAACCTCAGTTAGTACACTGAATAGTGCAGCTTTCAGACCAAGCAAACTGTTTCACCATCTAAAACAGCACTGGAAGCAATTCATTCCCAAGTGGCTCAAGACAAGCTTAGATGATAATACAGTAACTGTGCAAAGAACAAGCTCACAAGATTAACACCTAACCACTGGACTTACTCTTGATGCTAAGAATGTCCTACAATATTCTCATCTTTGAAAGGTTGAGTAAATCTGTTATTTCTTAGTGTTCACTATCAAAGTGGTTAAGATTTATTCTTCAGTGGCTGCCAAACGCTAATGCAGTATCTGTGTTCAATCTCCCCTCTCTTAACCTACTTTGTACTGCATTGCCTGTATACTCTCTCTCCTAAACTATCCAGTTTTCTTCTCCAAGCTAGGGCTGTCCTGTGCACACTATTTACTCTCTTCAGCATTCAGGGAAGGGTGAGGTATGTCCCACTGCCACCCTATTCTGAATCCTCTTCACCCAGCCCAGGTCCTTATTCCACAACAAGGCCCAACAGTGTGGTGAGCATGTCATCAGAAGCAGTACTGATGCCCCCCACAAGCTCCTGAATCCCCTCTGGTTCTTTGTCCATAAGGTTTAAGTACTGCTATAATACTGGTAGTAACTCAGGTGCTAAAAGCAAGTGCTAACATTCCCACAGGTTTCCTAAAGACTAGTATGATCTGCTGGTTCTGGACACAGCATACACACACCCATCTGAGCCACAATACTCACTACTCCAAGTCCATGGCAATGCCATTTTGAGGCAAAGGTCACTTTTTAAGCTTATCTGTTTTTAAAACTTTATAGTACATTTATTGTTTAGCATCAATTTAAAGAATTGTTTTGATATAAATCTGTCTAAAATCCTCAAAACCTGGCTTCCATTTTAAATACTTTATTGTCTTGATAACCCACCCTCTTTTACTTGTTTGGTTCCTTTCTTAAAAACATTCATGAGCACATGACACATTAGTAGCTGAAGGCAGACAGAACAAAGACTTTCACAGGCATTCTACTTCCATATAGTAAAATAGTTATCAAACTTTATCACTGATCACTTGGAAGCTCTCTGAACACCAGGATTCATTCTTGCCATCTGCAAGTCAAAAACTTGGAGCCGCGTATTTTTTCTTGATATGATCAGAGTGACACAGGACCTAACTCTTAGAAAATCCAAGCCTACATTTACCTCAAAGTCTGTCCAAACTATTCCAATGCTATACTGGCACTTATGTATTATGTTGCTTGTTGTGTGAAAAATACAGATCAAATTACCACAGAAGTTCAAGAATATGGTTAGAAAATAGAAGTTTCTAAACTTCACTTTTATGCTGACAGGAGAATTTCTGATACTCCATTTCAAATTGCTTTGATGTCTGTGATAATTACTTTGTTTCATGCTAGTTTTTGCTTGTATATTAGTGCTCTGCTTGCAAACAAAAGCTCAAAAGTGATCCAAAAGCTTCATAGTTTTATTCTTTTTCACCCTGTATAATAGTGCCAAAGGGGAAAAAGTTCTTTTGTATTCTGCACCTTGAATTCATCATACAAACATCTGCTCAGCCAAGCAGAGAACAATAAAGTTACTCACTTGACACCAACTATTTGGACTCCCAACTCCTTAGCACATTCCATGAGGTGTCTACAGTTCTTCAGGGTGGTGCCAAACTTCATATTCATCTCCTCATCAGCAGTAATGTCTTCTGTGGCAATGTGCAGTAAGAGCCTAAGAGAAGGGGAAGATGATTGGGGCAGTTGGTTTACATCATCAGCACATGTGAAGCCTGAAGACTGTCAGATCAGAAGTGTGTTGATTATGTTGTCAGTACTCCAGCTCCATCGATGGATGAGTCAAGGGAACCTAATAAAAACAATCCTGTACAGAGAAAAAACTAGCAATTAGGGGCTAAAACATGGAGCCAACAAGGACAAGGGATTTCGAAATGCAGCAACTAAGACTCTTTTGCAGCAGCAAGAGTCTGTTGAGTGCTGTAATAAAAGAGAATGTTACCTTCTATAAAGTATACTTCCTCATAAAACTGTTAAGACTGTAATATGCTTTTCCTATCTGTCCTCCTTCCTAGCCCGAAGGAGAGCACAGAGATTCTCCTTCAGGCAATCAGGTATCAGGTTTGGTTAAACTCGGCAGAAGGCACCAGGCTGACACACTGAAAGCACACCTTGGCCACATCCTTCCACCTCCCGCCTAGCTGAGCACACGGGGATTGGGTGGGGGTATCAACCCGTCCCCTGCTCCTTCTGCGAGGACACTTGTGGAGCAGGAAGGCACCAAGTACCATCTTTTATAGTCTTACGCAGTGAGACAGCTACGCTGGCCTAACAGCTACCTTGACTTCTAAAAGCCCTTTCCAAACATCCCATGATGTTTTTAAAATTCATTTGGTAAAAAGCAAATAAAGCAATCCTAAGTGCTCACACAGGCTGCCCAGCAGTCCTGCTGAGTTTAACTTATACCATTCATCTTGAGAAACTGACAACCTCCCTGCCCTTCCCCACTAGCACAGACAATTCTGTTCAAAGCTGTAGTCAGTGTTTTGTAAAACACTTTTGAAAAGTGCTACATGTAATGAAGAAAAAAGTGTCAGAAGTTAAACTCTAGAATGTAAAAAAAAAAAAAACAAAACCAAACAAAACCAACAACAGACAACCCAAATAAAACAACCCTCCCCCCCCCAAAATAAAACCCAAATACATAAATACTGTGGTTTATAACCACATTATGATTAGACAAAACCATTCCTTAAAGACACCTAAGTTTTATTGATGAGTTTTTATGGCACCATTATAAGTGAGTCGAGATACTTTTCTTGTGCAAACCACTAAAAACGTAAATCTGAAACTAGTAGGATTCTTCTTCCAAGGTTTCAGCAGTTAGTGCAGAGCTAGAGCATGATGTGTGTCTGGGGTTTTTCTACTTATTTTTAAGGAAGCATTGATACTTTAACAATCATGCCTCTACTAGAGCTCTTACTACACTAGCAACCTCAGTAGTTAATTGTTGTCTGAAAAAGCCAAATATGAAGAAATTAAAGACTTTTGAGATTGTGTCTTTCTTTAAAAAAGAAATTACAGTCATTTAACTTACTAAGACCCAAAGGAATAAAACTCAATTATAAAAAGAGACCCGCCCATTATTAAGTTCAGTGCAGAAAGTTACAAGTGTTTTTAGAAAATGAGAAGGAAAATTACAGCTAAACAGGATTTCCTCGGGCAAAGCACAGTTAGATTCATCCACAAAAAGCTAACCTAGCTGTAACAACCACACACAGGAAGAACAAGGCTCTGTGAAGGCTCTGACTTTTTGAAACTACGACCAAGGAAAAGAAAGAAGAAAATTCATAGCTGTCACTTCAGCAAACTGTCAATGACTCAAGTAAGAGAACTGTAATAAAACAAGCGAAGAAATCTCTACCCAGTAGGAGAGCTGGAGATTGGGTCTCTATAAAATTTAGATGGCAAATGGCAGAAATTGAGTTTCTTGTCCTTGGTAAACAGGAACTTTTTCAAATACTAGATTATAGGATCCTTGAAAAGTAATAACAAGTTCATGTTGGTTTTCTCCAGCTCAAACTCCTTCATTCTCTCTCCCTGCTTTACAATTTCTCTGGCTCAAGAAAAATCTGCATCCTAACTTCTGCTGTGGATGTTACAATAAACATCCAAAGAGGCTGCTAAAGAACTAACTCAATGTAAAACTTAACACTGAGAACACCAGTGATGACTGGGAACACTAGTGACAGTAGGGGACAGCTTTAGCATTACTAAGCCTTCCAGATGCATGGAGGATGTCAAGGTCAGCATTTTACACATAACATTCTTTGCACAGGAAGTACTTCCCAGTATGCAAAGCACGGACGGACTTCCATGAGGATGAAGTGTAATCACTAGTAATGATAATATTAATTCTTGAAGCAGTCTGAAGAGTAACAGTAAAAAACCAACCTAGGTGGGTTAAGCAGCCTCCAGATATCAAGCTTGGTTGAATCTTCCCAATTCTACAACTACAGCCGAGTTCTGGGAGAAGACATGACACTTGAAGGACAATCTAAAACCAAGGGCTTTGTAAAGGATGTCAGGAATTCAGTTTCTTGGTGTACTCTGATGGCATTTGTGGGAAGCTTTATCTCATTAATCACTGGAAAGCACTGCAACATTCACTTAGGCACTGACTCCACATTTCTTACAGGTGTAGCCACAGCCAAAGTATTCACATATGAGGGACCTGATGCTCAATGACACAAGCACCTGTCAGTCCAAAAGAGACAGGATGCATTGGCAGAAATACAGTTCTCATATGTAACCACCAGAACATCAGCTTTGATCACTTCCCCACAGAAAGTGCTGCGGCCAATACTAAAGTGACTGAAAACAGAACTGGACTCAAATTTCTCACTGTTTAATGGTGGGGAAATACCTGTAGGTGTATTTAATACACCTGCAGAGCATGCCCAAGCCCAATAGGTCCCAGTGTGCATGCTCACTTGCTGACAGTCTCAGCCCTGACTTCAGCTGAAGCCACTAATACCCAGACTACCCTGAAATACTGAAGCCACAACAGAGCAGGAAGATGTACTCGCAGATGATGAGGTGCCAGACTTCCAAACTTTTAGCACTGAAACCTTTACCTGAAGATTGCCCTATGAAATAAAAATGTAATATTTCTCCCCAAACAAGGGCTTTATTATCATATTAGGAAGACCCAGTAGAGAGAAAAAGTTGCAAAAAAGCTATCTTCAAAGGAGACAGAGAGAAGAGCAAATAGAAGTGAACTGCATTAAAGAAGTTGTGTACCTTGCTTGCAACTCCAACCACCCAGAATACAGGCAAAATTATGTTTCCCCCACATAAGCAGCAAAGCCAGAATTTCAACACTTACTTGGCATTTGGATGGTTACGTGCAATTTTCTTCAGCTCAATATCATTGTCACAAGTCATGATGTTTATCCCAGCTTTCGCTGCATACTTTATCTGAGAAGCTTGCTTGCAAGGATTTGTATATATTATGTTTTCAGGAGAAACGCCCAGGTCTTGTACCAATGCCATTTCAGACTGAAAAACAGGAGCATACCAGAGCAGGAGCATTTGACACAGTCCAGTGCACCATATTCACAGAATCTTTATTAGATGTGCTAAGTTATTATTTATTAGATGTACTAAGGTGTAAAATACACTAAAGAAAAAACTATCCACCACTTCTAGGGCAGAAGTATAGATTTTCTACAGGCAGTTACACAGGAGTTCACCATTTAAGTTAATAAAAAAAGCTGATTTTAAAACAGCAGACATATGGAAGAAGATCAGGCACACAGATAGACAAGAAAAACTTACTTTACTGGAACATGCAAATCCAACGCCAAGGGTTCCCAAAATTTCGAGTACACCTGGAGTAGAATTGCACCTTACAGGATAAAATGGTTTTATTGGTGCCATCACATTCTGCCATTGTATGTTATTCTTTACAAGCTTTCCAAGATCACCAACATAAAATGCTCTTTTTCCAGTCTAAAAAAGGAAGAACAGGAAAATAAAATGTCTGAAATTACGGGTTTGCTGCCAAAACATAAACAACCCATGAAATAGTCTTAAAGAATTATATACATTTTTTCACCTGCTATTAACTTTTAGGTTTGACCTTGAACAATGCTTTTGTTTTTTATTTCACCTAGCAATTTGAACTAGTTAAAAACCAAAGAGGGGATACCTACCACTTCAGAGAAATTAGGAATGTTTTTAGACAACATTCTGAGGTTCCTGAACAAAAGATACTACTTAAATGCCAAATGCTGATTTTCTCTAAGCACAGTATGTTACAAATCTCTTCCAACTTCGTCATTTCAGAAGTCTGCAATTTTTTTGAGGATGAAAATCCACTGGGACAAAAGCTTCCACAGAATCAAAATAATTTATTATATAAGGAATAAATTCTAATGCACTACCCCTTATTTTAACAGGTAGCTAATAGCTCATTTTACTGAAAATTTGTTTGATAGTATTTTAATTCAGGAAGTTAAGTTTGAGACGGTTCTCCACATGCTGTGGAGCACAAAGTTCAACCAGAATTTTAAGAACTAAACTCAGTGTGTTAAGGCTGCAGAGTCAAATACACAATCTTTAAGAAAATGCACACTTTTGTTGTTAATAGCCCCCTTTGTGCATCTGCCACCATAGTCTTTCTCAAGTCACAGTGTGGATGTAGTGGATTGAAATTCAAACAGATGATTCTCTTTGTTTACAAAGTACACTCAGTAAAGTTCCTGTAAATGAAGGGCCTACTGTATAGCAAAGACCATCACCAAGTAACAATCAATCTGAATTAAGACTGTACATCAAATGTTAATTCTAACACTTGACTTTTGCAGATATGAAACTAAATTGTGGCTTATTGTATACAATGTCTTTATTTCTGTTTAAAAAACACAAATAGAAATTCCATCGGGTGGAAGCATACTGACCCCCTGTACGGGTCACCAGCAGGAATGGGATCTGGAGCTTTAGATCCATGGCACAGGCCTCTACCCCTTGAGCTAAAGGAGTAAATGAAAGCAGCAGGAGGCAGCTATCCTCTGTGAGCCAGTCAGTGGTTGAAGACATGACATGTTGCCAGTAGTTTACCTATTTATTTGCTAGACAGAAAAAGAATATTAGGAATCAGGATTTGGGAACCCTACACCTGAGTTCAGAAGGCCATGGGATTTAGCTATTTGTTGTACTATAGTTGAGCACTGCTTTAACATTAGCTCTGATAAACCAAGGAGAAAGTTAACAACTCACAGGTATGGCACATTAAGGATACAGGATTTGCTTACTGAAACTTGTAAAGCTCGCTCTTTGTACAACCTTGTCTATAAAACAAAGGCTACCACATCTTCTTGCCTCGTAAGGAGTGAGTGTAGCTTTATTCTATAAAACTAGTATTGTATACACAGAATTATTTAAGTTTCTTTCCAGTAGATTTCTAAACTGTAATAGGTTTAGTTTCTTGAAAGAAATCACAACATGCTTGTACCCATTTTCAATGAAGAGAAGGGTCATGGGAAGACACATAACCATACAATGATGATGGACCACAGAAATGTTAAACATGGCTTTAAAATGGCTCAGCATATATCTTTGTCTAAACTTTGGTATATTTTTAGGGAGACAAAAAAAAAAAGTTTATCTCAGTGATACCCACTTGCCCAGTTTCAGGTTCCTGGTCTAAATCCCGCTGATCACAAAATCTCTTGAAACAATGAGGTGGGAACCTGTATGTTATTACATCAGCAAGATTACTTTCCTGCTGGCTAAATTCAGAGAGGTAATAATCACTGCCCAAATTTCCCCAAAAGAATTCAGCCCGAGGCAATCAAACAGCAAAAAATTGAAAGAGGAAGCTACATCAGGTGAGTTTTAGCAACTGTTCCTCTGTTGCTGTCAGGTCAGTGCTAGATACCTTTACCTTAAGTTTGAAAACTTAGGATAACTAAATGAGAAGATTTGGAAAAAAAAAAAAAAAAGATCCCAAAACTTACATGAGTGTGTTCATAAATACAGTTGTCAATAACATCTGCAAGAGTTGCTCCTTCATCCAACAGACCAATGGAGTAATTTGCATCCTCAAGAAATCCTTTCATCTCAGCCGTATTCCACAAAGCCGACAGTCATAAACCAAGAAACACAAGGGATGGGCTTCCAAGCCTTATATCCGGGTCCTTAAATTATGCAACAAACTGTAAAAGGAAACATAAAACAACGAGTAAGAGGCATAGAGCATACTGTGTCACTACTTCAAAGTTAGAAAGAGCTTTTCACATCTAATGTACTACAAACAGTAACACACACCCCAGACCAAAGATTTTTTTTATTCTGCTCACCCTCCATTTGCCAGGGATAAGGACAGAGCAAATCTACTGAATAAAACAGAAGCTACATACTTTAAATCTGATACGAACTTAAAGACAAATAAGAAACCACTGATGCAAGGCTGCTCTTAAGAATCCCAGATGATCGGCACACTGATCGGTGCTGAGCTTATGCAAACTATGAAAATACCACAAGTGTAGCATACTTCTACGAACACCTCAGTTCAGCTATTCTTAAGTGTAGCCTCTTACATGACATTAGTATCCAAGTGTGCAACTAGAAAACTGAATATATTTCTGCATTTGTTAAAGAAAACTTGTAGTTTATTAAATGTTAACACTGATATTTAAGATTCACATCTTTGTTAACATTCAATTTTTTGTTTAGATGCTAATTCATAACCATTGCCTTCATACATTGTATTTACTAGACATTTTGTTGTTCTGCTCATAAGATCGCCTACAATACTTGGAAGTCTTTACTTCAGTAAAGGTTAACAGAAAGATGTCACTAGCTAGAAGTAGTTTTAAAAGTGACAATCTCAGTAAGTGGTGTTAAAAGTAACAGTTATAACCCAGCCTTATTTGCATCTTGTTTACCCTCAGACCTTCACTGTAAATCAGATGTTGTTTACAAGCAGTGGTCTCCAAAAGACAACCTGAATCAGTGAAATCCCTAGACAGAAAACAGTGTGAAATATACAGTCTTAGAATATTGATTAAATAGTTGGTCTCAAAAATCAGACAGCAGAAAGCCACAAACAGGTGATTGTACACACTCGTCAGCCCTACTTTATGAATACAGCAATCTGCAGTTTACATTCCATTACAGTTGCAGGTCTTGTTTAAAAGCAGTTTATTAGTTTATAGCAACCAACTGACCCGACTTCCTTTGTTTCAACCATCACTTTATGACTAGCACAACTGACCAAAACCAGCCAGCTAACCCCATTCCTTCCTTACACAAACACCCAAGACTCTTCAGTGTCTCAGAAGAAGTTGCATAGGATGCGTTAGCTTCACCAAAACTCTCAAAACAAGATAATTTTGGCTTCAAATAGTCACAAGCCCACGGTATTAACACTGTCTCGTGTTTCTTTCACCACCTCCTTAGAGTAAAAAATAAAATCCACAATTTGCAACGTAAGTTTGGTTAACACTGTTAATAATATGAACAAAGTTAGTTTTGCTCAAGCTAATACCAAGACAACTAAGCAGCACTTGCTCCTGCTTGTCATTACACAAGTAACAGGGAAAAGAGCCATCGGTTTTGTGTGCTTTCTATGTAACTCAAGTATGCCACCTATGTTTCTTACAAGAAGCATTTACTGACAGGTGAATTAACTCTGGCAGCAAGCATTTTCATTCTACCCAGAAGCTGAACGATAACAGACAAGTATGTTGGGCAAGACCATAACTTGTCTCACAAATATGGTGAGTCATATGCTTATTTAAGCGAATTCTGAAGATTCAAAGCAATCATGAAAGAGCAAGATAATTATCACTGATGTAAGGGTTTAAGTAAATTACAATTATAAAAACAATGAATAGTGGTAGTGGTAGTGGTAATGGTAGCGGTAATAACCAGGAAAAATGTCTTCAGCCAGCCACATCTAAGTTTGTGAGCAACAGCTAAAACTCCTTAATAAAACCCACCAGCAAACAAAACACAAGGCTGTGAAACAAGTCTGACTTGGAATCGGTGAAACAAGCATGAACACCACATCATGTTTCTGTAGTTACTGGCACCCTCTGAACAGGTACTTCATCAGTATCCTTGATTTGGCAGCTGATTAGCACAAAGTCCTCAACACGTTCACCTCCATAAAATATCCATCATTTCCAGGAGCAGAATATCAAAAAGGGTTTGGTTTGGGTATTTTTTTTCCCCTGGAAAGAAAAGCTGCATCAGTGTTGTACTGAAAATTTGATATAGTTCTGGAGTATTCAAAACACAAAGATCAAAAGAAGAAAAAAAAAATCTAACAGCAAAGTTTAATTCTTTTAGCATAAATTTCTTTAGATTATGACTTAAACAGCCTAATGTTTAAGTTTTAAAAGTACTTTATGCATCCTCAAGCTTCCTGGTTGTGTTAATAAACACATTATGTTTAATGTGTTAATAAACACATTAAACTTCTGTTGTCTTCTTCCAAGAAAAGCAATACCCAAAGAGAGGAATAAGTAAACCAACCAAGGTGCACACACATGAGAACAATGCGATTTCCACGTTCAGCAGATCCATCAACCAAAACCCGCAAGTTTTTAATCCTTTTGTGACAGAGGGGTGTTAAAGGAAAATTTAAGTTCATGCTGTATTTAGATCTATAGCACCTTTAGGACACATCAAATCTGCCCTATGACTTTAGAGAAAGTTCAACAAAACCTAATGGCAACATTTTGACACAGTAACCCTGTAGGGAATAAACTTCCATGATCCACTTCCTCTTCCCCCCTCCCATTCACGCCCAACCAGTAAATACTGCAATACCTGCAACTGAACACATGCAAGTGACTGCTGGCAGATGCCTCATATGAGCTTCTTTCTAGCATTTAAGTCAAGTTGGACAAATGCTGCCTTTCCGATCACAAGGTTGCAATTCCCTGACATTTTGTACACAGCTGTTAAACAGCCTTAAGACAAAACTGAAGCATTTTAAGGATTTACTTACTATATATACATAGGGGTGCCACTTAGATTTTAAAGTTTTGGTGGGTTTGGGCCTGTTTTGTACTACAAGCAACTTCCTACAATCTGAAGCATGCAGATTGCCAGGAGTCCCTTCCACTTAACGAACACCTCTGATGGATGTGCCTTGCTGAGAGGTCCCAGTGGAACCAGTCACAGCACTGAGCAGGTTTTTAGATTCAGGAGACACATATCCCCCCCCCCCCGCAGGCTAATTGCTTGTGCCTGGTATTTCAAATGAAGCTGGATCTAAACAACAGCTAGGCTTTTTTACTTCCAGTTTTGTTGTTCATCTAAGTTACAACAGAGTAGATTTAAGAGTTTAAAGTACTCTTAAAAGAATGCTTTTTTCCACAGTTAATGACTGTGGTGTATATAGCTTTCAAACAGAGATGGTGTAGGAGAATGCTTTTCCCCCAGAGCTACCCTTCAACTTAAGTTGTCCCCTGAGTGGGACAACTGCTTTAACAGAAGCATGGGAGAAGGCCTCTTTACCACTAACTACTCTCTAGAAACAACAAAAAGAACACTTATCTGGTAAATTAGCTTTGACTAAGGTTATTTCCTAAAACAGCTTTCTCTTATAGTTCATTCATCCAAAGGTATCTTATGGTCAAGAGGCAGAGATGAAAAGGAATATGCTAGTACAGACTTAATAAAATAGCCTGCAGCAAGCCAGAAACAACCTAGTGTAACCTCACCCAGGCTCCTGAACAGCAACTGCTTTTTTTAAGCATGTCCACAGCATCTAAGCTTTTTCCTTTAGCAAAATTCATCTAATAAAGAAAAAACACTAACTGTTTGTCCTTGGAGTCACAGCCCATTTCTCTCCAGTTTCTCCTGCTCTGGAAGAAATGACATCTTTTCAGTCTTATTGAGAACAAGACAGAACATTCTACAAACAGAAAACCAAATTCTTACCAGCACGGCTACAACACCCCCAGAAAACAGTGCATACATCAGAAATGTTTCTTTAAGGGGGTAGATAACACCTGCAGAAGGATTTGGGATTGTGCTATAACCTTACTCTGTTCTGACTACCCCACCTCCTGAGGGAGGAGGAGAATCAATGATAAAGTTTGTGAAAGATCAAATAAATACATACAGAAGGAAATTGAGAGGATGGTTTAAGACTTCTGTACCTGTAAGACGAGTCAGAAATCATTACAGTACAGAGTTCAGTTCTTGCTGGAAGTGCTGACTTGCTGCAAGTCATAATTTGACAGACTTAGTGTGGTAACACAACCCATTTTACCACCTGAAATATTAGTCGGCACAATGCTCCAGGACATACATTTTAGGGCAAACAAAAGCTGTCAAGGACTATGAGACTTCTACACAGGCATGCAATTGCTTTCTTTGAAGTAAGAGTTAGTTCCTCAGGCTCTTTAGGGTTTAACACAATGACTTCCCAGATGAAGAACTTAAAGATAAAAGCTTACATATTTAAACACAGCAATTAATGCAGAGAACAGAACAGAAAAGTAAAATAAAACGGTATGAAGAAAATAAAATGCTCTGAAAAGTGACTAACAAAACATGTGCTTGTTATATGCAAGCATCCATAACAAGCAATTTTCAATGCTTTTCTTTACACTGTCAGATTTACATATTGTTTGGCCAAAAAAAAAAAAACCCCACACCTTTGAGGTCTGGTTCTTTCATTAAAACTTCCTCTTCGAAGAGCAATCCCTGCAAACTGAATGAGCTTCCAATAACATCTTTCAACTACTTGTCTTAAAGAAAATACTTACAATATTAATTATGCTAATGCAAAAATCATGAAGAGGTAAAATACATTCATCTTGCATGCCTTAAAGTACTGATTCTTCAGGGGTAAAAGATAAAAAAGTAGAAGCATTCTGTCACTAACATTTGGAATTGAGTACAGAACAAGAAGACCAGAAAAGTAAAAACACGAGTCCTCTGTTTTCAGCATAGGAAATGACTATTTATAATGGGAGTATCTTTAATCCAACATGCCATTTCACCAACTTACATCTTTATCATTGTTAGCTGAATGCAGCCACTACTCAGCTGAAAATGCTGAAGTAGGAGTCTTTATTCACAATGACAGTGGACATTTTGCATTACCCCAGTTGCCTCCGAGTACAAATCCACTGAGGGTCATAGACTACAGCTCTAGTTGCATGCTATCATTCTCTCAGGCATATTCCACACAGTTAAATGAGCAATGTAACAAGAGCATCTCTGCTTAAGTGAGCAAGCAAAGGGGGCAGATAATAAATAATGCCCGATCTGACACTTTCTACAGCAGCCATGCCTTCAGGAACCTCCTTCTGTTTTCTTGAAGTTTGAATACATTATTCAAAGCCAATAAGCTAGTAAAGCTTACAAAAATGAGTGGTCCTGTAAGTGCATGGACAGTTCTATGGTACTATCTCAGCACTTCTTCATGACAGTACAAGCAGCTACTTCCCTCTTCTCTCACTTGCTTAGTGAACGTTAGCTTCCCCATTGCTTCCTGTACCCTCATTGCCACCCAGTCCCATTTAGACAAAGTCAAGAGAGACTTAAAGGCTACCCAGTCCAGATAACTACTGCTTCCACTAGAGTGGGAAAGGGCTCATTAATAGATCAGATTTCCAATGGCAATTCCTTAAAATTTCTGATCAATCAGATGTGGCAATAAATAGAACAGATTTTAAAAGGAGCGAGACTTCAGGCCACAGTTGCCAGATTGCTCAGGAAGCCAGAGCCTGAAAAGACAGAACTAAATCCCATGTTCTTCCTTGGCCAGTGTAATACAAGAACTATAAAAAGGAGGCAAGTTCAGTGGGAATGTAGTTAGTACATCTTCAGAGAGATTTTTATTTGAGTTCCGCTGGAATATAAAAATTACATTTAAAATCTCAATTGATTTTTTTCCTCATTAAATTACTTTGCAAGCCAAACAGGACTCAAACTACCAATTAGCTGGCTAACTTACATCTTAGCTATGTTTGAGGGAACTACCTGCGCTTCAGCACACTAAAACAGGTACTGACAGACACTCACAGACTACTGCTACATGATTACATTCAATACTGAGCTACTTATATTTGCATACAGCATATTATTACTGAACACATAATAAATCCAAGCTCAAAATAACCATGTAGAGCTCATCTGAACATTCAACTACAAATACAGTAAATCCAGTGATATTTCCATTCTAGGATAAGCTATACTTTGCACTATTTGCCACAGCACATTTAGAGAAAAAACAATCTCAATGAAGGTAGCAGAACAGCCTTCTCTTTTAGGAGAAAAACTCTGGTCAAAGCCAAAATTCCTTCAGAGCAGTTTTAGAAATTAAATGCATTTATAGTGCCTTCAGATTTCCTACTTTATTAACTCCCTCCTCCTAACAATTATTCTGCCTTTCTTACCCTTTTACTACTTTACTTTATTCCTTTTGAAGTGTAAAACATCATGCAGGAGTTCTACTCACATACAAGAGTGACCTGAACTCAAACTGAACAAGAGGAACAACTTTTTCTGATCTTTTGCTTACAAAAATCACGTGACACAAAGTAACAGTGATATTCAGAGAACTTTCAGTGTTAACTGTATTCACTTGATCAGAGCAGACATCTACATAGAAACAGATATATGTGGTTAATTCAGTAATTTTCAAACAAAACAAAAAAGAGCATTACCTCTGAAGATCAAGCTGGTTTATCATGATAAACCACATCCTTCCCTTACTGCAGTATTTTCAAAGAATAGACATCTATATTAAGTACCTTATTGAGAAACATACCAATGCAACCTGCATTTGGACTCTTTGTGGTCTTTAAAAGGTACCTGGCTCAGGTGCACTTAAGCATTCTCATTCAAGTTTTACACTAAAAAACATTATATAATTTATAGGTACTAAGCCAAACAAAAATGCCTTCAGCTAGACAGGAAAAAAAGGTAATACTATATAAAATCAACTTAACCCAGATAATATAAACGCATTTAAGGCTCTTGTTAAAACCACATAAAGCTATTGTTTCATGTTAACAGAATAGGATAACCACATGCATTCCAGAGTTTTCTGTGCTCCTTAAGACAGCTATGTGCACTCATTTGTTTTCAGTTATCATGGGTCTTGTTTCTCTTGAATAATTATTTGTCTCTTAAACATGCAAAGGCATTTAATTTGGTATACAATTTCCATCCAACACAATTCCACATTCTACTGTAGCTCAACTGCAACTATTTGTGGAAGTGGATACTAATTTGCAAATAATGGAGACAGGCATTTGGGAAGGCACACCCTTCATGATCAGCATTAGTTACTGTTTACAATAGCAGATCTTACTATTTCAGCATAAAATACCCTAAGAAATCCCACAGCAAATAATGATTTGATGTTAACAGTCATGAAGTGTCAATTCATGAATTCAGAATTATCACTGAGACTGAAGTTATAGCATTTTATTTTAGGATTTCTGTAGCAAACAGCCCTAATTCAGAAAAATAACTATTTAACAAAGTTTACTCAAGCATGTTTAAGTCTCCCAGAAATTCATCATATAACTCTGTTGAGAAAAGTATTGTTTGAGTAAAAATTATAGACTCCACTTGAAGGAAAGTCACACACATACACATGCCAGTATTTTTAATTTTGATTGAAACATTGATACAGTTACCCTTACTTACCAAAAAGCCAATACATGCTGGTTTTATTTTTGGAAGAGCTTATCCTCCTGCATACAGATGAAAAGCAAAAGATACTTACATGGACAAGTTAGGAGATGGAACCCTACTATCATCAGCTAGGTTCCCAAGGTGGCTCAGCGTTGAAGTCGAACTGCTCTCTATAAAGCACTTCTCCTAAACCCTCTGGATAGTTGTAAACTTGATCAGAGATTTTGCCCTGTGGGAGAAAATACATACAAAAATGAATTTCCAAGCTAGAACAAAATAAAAGTTTTATCTTACAACATGTAACAAATGTCTTTTCAGTAATGCTTTTAAGGAGGCTTGCAACACCCCACCATGAAAGTTTATTATCAAAATGCTCAGTTTTCAAGATTCGAATGTGAACTCTGAGTCAGATCAAGTCAGACATATGAAGAAGTGCTAAAACACATGAATTACGCGCACGAAAGTGCTTGTTTGTACTTATCTTTCAAAGTCTGAATTGGAAGATTTTCAAAGAGCTGTACATGAACCTGCTTTAGGGTAATATGCTTTAATACTGGACTACCCTCCCACAAGCATTTTTAACCCTGTAACCCCACTTCCTTTCTATTTTAGAATTCCCTTGCCATGTTCTTTCTTCCTCTGCTGTGAATGAACACACCATGTGGGTGAAAAAGCTATGTGGGTGAAAAATACTGCTTTATACAGTGAAACTGAACACCATACAGACAAATCTAGAGACAAGCAAGACAGTGAAAAGAAAGAAACTTATGCTTGCCTTCAGGAATGAGGAAACATTTCAGCTTGCCCTTAAGGGCTATTACACACAACGCCAAAGCAGCATTTTAAAATACAAAGCTAGCTTGCTCAAATGAAGGCAAAACCTTCAGTACATTGTACTGTACTCAGAATAGCACAATGAACATAAAGAGCAGTCAAGAAAACATTAACCAGCCCTGTTGAGTAGTTATTCCTTCTAAAAGGAACTGACATTTTCGTGGAATTAAATACAGTACAGAACTGGTCATGTGTAAACCCACCATAAAACGAAGTTTCTACAAAATCACTGTGGTCTATGGCATGAAATGTGTAATGTACCAACTATTGTAGAAATAAATCTTTGCTGCTCTCGCTATTTAACTGAGACATGTGTTGCCTACAAAAAATGGCTTCTGGGAATCGCCTAACCCAAATGATTATCTTTTCAACTGCATTACAGTTAAGCAAGCTGCTGAAGTCCATTTTTCCACTTGTTCTTGCTATTAAAAAACTAAATGAGTGTACTCTGTAAAACACTGAATTGCAGACTGAATGCAATTCCACAGACCAATCTCTTCAGCTTTACCATATAAATTAACATTTTGAAGCATATAACATTAAACCTCAGTGCTTCAAAATTATGAGATATTAAGGAATTTTGCCAGCTAGAATTAGTGTAGAACAATGTTTTATCTTCCATTAAAGCAAGAAGTTAGTTCTCAGAGCATGTACACATTTAAAGTCAGCAACATTTCCCTTTCGTAAAATTAACTAGTAGCTCCACTATTTTCTAGTGCTATTCTGATTATATGCAAGAACTCATACCAATTTTCCAGTGATTGTGAATTAAGTTTACCTTCACAACAAAACAAGTTGTTAAAAACAGGTGCTTTTAGGGAGAGTGCATGACCTTTAGTACAAAAACTTAAAAAGTCATGCTTCAGACAAATATCACCTGCAGTACTATTCCAGTAAATATTCTCATATGTCCCAAGAAGGAAGTGTGCAGTGAAAGCTCCTGTGGAGCTGGAATGAAATCTGATCATTTTCTGTAGCAACTGTCAACTATGAGCTGTGCTGAGTTGTAATTGCCCTTCAGAATTTCTTTTAAACAAGAACAATTTATCTGAAGGAGCTACATAAATGTATACAAAATAGTCTGACTGCCTTCTTTCATGTAGATTTGACAATATTAAATATTCAGAGAGGAAAACTGTACTATTTGAGCCTTTCCAATCACAGTAATTTTACTCTGCTTTATAACCAGCACAAGGAGTTGGTTTGCTGTACTGCAACAGAGCAGGACTACCATTTTAAGCAGAAGTGTGTTAGATGTCCAGAACCTATATGGACAAACCCAGTCTGAGAAAAATAGCTTAAGTGAGTGGCCACAATGAAGTGTTCATTGCTTAAGGGCCTTGAAGTAGTTATAAAAGCATTCTTGCTAAACAGTGAGCTTTGAGTTGCAGGAATAATTGACAAGGCAGCTTTGCCTTTTAATACTCAAGTGACACCTATATGTATATATTTATGTATCATCTATTAGTATACTCTACTAGCAGGTGTCTCAAGTTTGACAGCAGCTCAACCAGACATGCTGTACTTCGTACATGAATAGTAACAGTCCCCTGAGGAAGAAAATAACCCCCCAGTCACCCACAGCACATAGTTTTGCTGGACCAACTGCATCCTGCAGCAAGCCCTAGGCCTGCCAGTCAGGACCAAGCTCGCTCAGCTCCCCATGTCTGATGCAGACAGACCTGCAAAACTGGGCACAGATTCATTTCCTTTGAGAAACTCAAATACTGTATCTTTCTCTTTCTGAGGAGACACTTTGGTGACCAGAGATTGAAATATTCATGAACCAAACCCTAAAAATCTTGCAATATTATGGCCTTTCACATTTACACCAACTGACAGAGTTGGAGGCACCAAAGTTACTCTGGTGCTCAAAAATTCCAGCTATTCTTCTGTTACAATAGGCCTTTCCCAAACAGTGGCCAGGGTGTAATGGCAAGGTGGTCACCAAGGGAAAGCAGGTCCTGAAGGAAGCACAGGTCCCTGAGGAATTCTATCAACAACACAATCGTTCCTGTGCTACATCAACAGTATTTTGAACTGAAATATGCCATTATACCCAAATTAGTCCATTACACAATTAAGCCTCCCTTTCAGGAAGGGACAGTCTTAATTCCTTCCCAGAGCATTCCGTCTTCCGTATAATTGAAGGGATGGAATCATTTCCAGACCATACAGCACAGCATTGCTGCAAACACACCTGCACCAGCCTTCCAGCACAGAGAGACACAAGTCACCTGCCTGGGGGGCAGGCTGCAGTGCTGAAAGGCGGTAAGCCCACCTCTTGCCTCCGTAAGATTGCCCCCACCGGAGAAACCCCATTGGTGTCTGCCACCAAACAACACCATCCCCCTCCCAAAGTCCTGTCAAGACCCCTCTTTTTCTGGGATTTAACAAGCTTCCCCCCGAACTGAAGGCCCTGCGGGAGGGATAGGGGCAGTAGGACAGCCTACGGCAGGCAGGGCAGGAGCTCACCACAGCCTGAAGCACACGGGGAGGGGGCTGCCGTGTCGCAAGCATCAGCCACGGCGGCAGCAGCATTGTTCACACGGTGACAGGAAGGAAAGAACTAGACTGGACCAGTCCAGACTGGAACAAACCCCTCCTACCATCACCATTATTCACAACCCCCCACCTCCCCCCCCAACACCGCTGCCTCACGCATTATCCAGGGAAGAATAGCGGGCAAGTGCAGCGTCCTCAGAGCCAAAAATCCCACAGCCAGGGTGAGGGCAGAAGTGGGGCAGCATTCCCACCCCAACCCACCGCCATGCTGGAGCCATGCATCTGGCTGGGAGGGCTGGCAGGTCTAACTCGCTTTACTGGACACCACACGGTGTCTTCATTCAAGGGGGGCTACATTCCACTAGGACTACACGATCAAATTCCGTTCAGCCACAGGAGACTGCTGCAGAGGTCTGAAACGCAGTGCTTCTCCTGCCTACTGCACGTGTTAGCTGTGCAGGATTTTGCACTGCAGGAGATGCACTTCAAAAAGGCTCAAAAGTTGATTTAAATTCACTTTCTTCCCTCCTCACCACAAGCCAGGTTCCCTCAGGACAGACACATGTTCCTGAACTCAGGATGAGCCCATACTGCTGACTGGAAAAGACCTGCAGTGCTGTCTAGTAAGGAGTCATTACGGCATCCTCATGGGCCACACCAGCCACGTTCCTGCTTTTGCACTGTGCCCCTTACACATGCACGAGTCCCCTGCTCCCACACCATACTTTCAGCTCTCTTACAACCAGTAAACAGGCATCTCCGCTGACTTCTCTCTCACCAAAGAGGGAACGGCACTGCAGCAAGCACACACACATGCTCAGGATACCCTGACATCCAAGTGCACATGTTTTACACACACAGAGCCAGCAACTGAGCAGTGACTGGACCTTTTTCTCCATGTTTTCCGAGAGCCACCAGTACAGCAGTGACTGACCAGACCACAAGGACTGATGGAGGCAGCTAAACCAAAGAGGCTGAGGCTTAACAAAGAGACTTCCAGAAGGACTGGCAGCACCAAACCTGCTGCTGCTACACTAACACATCGACCAAGCAGAGAGGGAAACGTGTCCTTGAGATGACCAGCAAACATCCACAGCAAACGGGGGGGACTTTAACAGGAGGGAAGAGTTCCACTTCCCATAGGCTGGAGGACCCCTGGCCCCATGGCATGAAGGCAATTTGCCCCGTCATCCCAGCACTCGTCCCGGAAAGCGTCACTTGTGCAATGCCCTCGCCCCTTGTGTAGTGCCTTGACAGCTCACGCTGCTGTCCTGATCCATGGTGTGCTCCCCTGTGCACCGTGCCGAGGGGAACGGGTGAGGCCTCGTGCGGGCACCCCTCAGGTGAGAGGCAAAGACGAGAGTGACAGCGGGAGCCCGGATGGATAGTTACGGTTACAGACACACAACATGGCCTCTGAGAAGCAGGCAAGGAGCCGCCGCAGCCATGCCACAAGCACTTCTCCAGCCTTTCTACCCCTGTCACCCAGGCCAGCCCGGAAGCATGTTACACTGCTACTCCCCCCGGCCTCAAGGAGCATCCTGCGTACGGGAGCACCCGAGAGGACGGGATCTGCCGGGACCCGCATGGAGCTCCCGAGCGCGGCAGCTGCCACAGAGCACGGTGACGGCATGCCGAGGTCCGGAGCAGCCCCTCTCCTTGAGGGGCCCAGGCGAGGACGCCCCTCGCCCCCTCCACAGGAAGGGCCTCACTGCGAGAGGTAGCAACGCCCGAGGGGTACGGGTATCCCGCCGCGGGGCACTGCCCGGCTGCTGGGGGGGAAAGACACCACACAGCCCCCCTCCGCAGGAATCCGCCATGTTAGGGCGGCCGCCGAGCCCCCTTTCCCCGCAGAGCCGGAGGCCCCGCCGCCTTCCCGTGCCCTGCGGAGCTGGGGGAGAAGAACGAGCAGCGGTCCTAGCACAGCCCTCGCCCCGGTTCCCGGCCTCCTGCTCCCGCCTCGCCGCCTCTCTCACGCAGGGCTGTCCGCCATGTTAGCGTGGCGGCCGCTGACCCCCTCCACCCGCCGCCACAGACACACTCCGGGGCACTGTCGACCCCGGCGCCCGTGTGCTTCCTCCCCGGGCGGCGGCCCCGCATCGCCCAGCGCCTCGCTGCGCGCCGGAGAAGGGGGGGAGCCTTGGCTCTGACTCATGCTGCCGCTCTCCATCTGCCGCCGCCGGTGGCAGCCGGTCTCGCCCCACGCCGCCGGGCGGAGAAAGGGCAGCAGGAGGAACCGGCCTCATCCCCATCCCCCTCCCCGCCCGGTACCGCCACGGCGACCGGTGGCAGTGCTGACCGCCGGCTGCCCCTCCCGAGTGCTGCGGCCACCGCTCCCATTCCCCGCCTTGCGCTTGGGGAACTATGGCCTGTCCCTCCCAAGCCCCGGGGAGCGAAGAGCTCCTCCACTGCCTCCCGCCGCCGGTGTCAAAGGACGCCCCAGGTCGCTCCGGAGCTCAGGGTGGGTGTCACCGCCCCTTCCCTCCCTCCCGCCGTCTCCCCCACTGCGGGGCGAGCCCCATCCTGGCTAGGACCCCGGCAGCGGTACTCACGTGAGATAACGGCCTGAAAGATTTGGTAAATCGTCTTCTCTTTTTAGGCGGAATTTTTAAAGAGGGATGTGGGAACCTACAGCAGAAATACAGGCGGCGGCAGCGGCGCCTTCCAGGGCCATAGGCTGCGGGGGCGACCGACTGGGGAAGCGCAGCGCAGCGCTCGGACGAGAGGGCACAGACACAGAGAAACAGAGCCGGAGTGGGCCGGGGGGGGAGCGGGGCTGCTGCAGCTGTGCACGGAGACACGAGCGCGGCTACCAGGCTGCGAGGCGAACGGCGGGGCGAGGAGAAGGGGGCCGCCGCCGCAACGCTCTTATAGGGCGGGCGGGTGGGGAGGGACCCGGAGCCACGCGTCACCGCACCGCGGGCGGGAGGCGCCGCCGCCGAAACCAGCCCTCCGGCGGCGGCGAACTGGGCATGCGTGGAGTGCCGCCGGCGGGCAGTGGGGATCGCCGTCGGCCTCGCCGCCCCGGGTGGGGGCACCACGGCGGTGCTAGTTCTGCGGCTGGGGTTGGGCCCGAGGGATGCCACCCGACCTGGCCCTACCTGACCCGGCCGGCGGGGCTGGTGGCCCAGGCGGATCGCCGTCTCTGGCGGGAGAGGCCGGGGTCTGTCGATGGTGCTTGCGGACGGCAGGGGCCAGGCAGGGCTCGACTGCAGGTATCCCTCGGGACGCAGGGCAGGCGGTTGCGGGCTCGTGAGTTCATGTGCCAACTTGAGCCTGTGTTTCAGGGGTGGTTTCCACAAACCCAAGACTCATCGTCCTATGTCACTACATAGCTGAGCAGGTGGGAAGGGAAGCCAAGTGTTAGTGGCCAGCCAGAAGTCTGGTTCCCCAAGTTAACAGCATCCGAATAATTTGCACTGATTCACTGAGCATTGCTAATCTGTTAATAATGCTCAGTAGAAGCTCTAATCACACTGCATACCTGGCAGCCTCAGTGAATTTCGTGTGTCTTACAGTACTTACATAAGCACTTGAACTGAAGGATTTAGCTGACCCACATATTTAATGGAATTTTGCTGAAGCACTGGGACACCTTCAGCATTTCCCGAAGCCTTTAGTACTTTCATAACACCTTTGTGAGGAAGCGCCAGCTGCAAGTAGAAAAGAGCCACTCAGACATCAAGTGCCTCAGTCAGAGGTAACAGAACTGTCCCATGGTGGGGCTGAGGATGCACCCTGACCTGCCACCCCCACTCTGCCATGTCAATCTTATAAAACCACACAGGGCTGTTCTTTAAGAACTCATTCCAGTAGTCGAAATTCTTTCTGGACAATAAAATACATAGTAATGTAGTTCACTGAGACCAGCAAATGATATACTTGTTCAGAAAAGTAATTGTTCGTCTCAGGACACGTTAATTTTATTTTTAGAAAGGTGTGTTCATACAGTTTGTGCATTTTTTTTTTCCAAAGCAAAGCTGGGTTTGTTTAATTTTCTAGCAGACAGAATTCGGAATAACAGACAATAGATACACACCTGTCATCTCCAGAAAAAAAAGTGAGACTGAGGTTTCACAGCATGCAGGGATGGAGTTTGTCTACTCTTTTCATCTGTTGTCGCCTTCCCTTTTGCCAATAATTTTAGATGAGGAGGAAGTGAATTGATAAATATATGCAGTCTCACTGCAGTCTTTCCTGGTAACAGTGCTAGTAGGTTATGGATGAAGTCAGTCAAAGCAGGCACGTTGATTAGAAAGTCAGAAGACTTCTCACATATACTTGCAGCAAACCTTGCACTGAGGACTAAAAATGGAGTGGTTTACATCACTCTTTTCTGAGGTATGATCTGTATTGCACCCTTTATTTGGGTTCCTATTCCAGAATATAAGTGCAGGAGGAAGAATCAAGAGTATACTAAAAAAAAACAACCCAAAATCCCCAAACAAAAGAAACCACCAACAAACAAACACCCAACACCAAACAAACTAAACCAAACCAAAAAAAACTCCAATCCAAACTGCAAAATCTGTGGAGACTTAGGAAGAGAGATTTGGACAATGCACAATAAATGTGAATCATTAACAGGTAATGAAAGGAGGAAGGGTTGTCCTTGGAGGACAAGGGTTAGAGGGGAGGGCACATGTTACAGTGATATACACAGAGGAGCAATCCAGAAAGCTGTATTCTTTAGGAAGGTAGATTTTTTAAAACACATTTTTGGAAGGGATTTAAACTAGAAAAAAGACTTGACTAGTTTAGAGGCATTTAGGTGCAGCCAAAAAGTGATCCATCAGGGAAAAGACAAAGTCAGTACTGGTTCTATGATGAACTGTTTTTTATCTGTGTTCTAAGACATCTCCTGATGGTAATATCCGAAGATATCCCAGCAGTGATATAACTGACACAATAGTTACTGCCTCCTCATCTACATTCATCTTCCCGAAAGAGTTTTTATTTTGGTAAGTAGGGGATGTTTTTAATATTCTTACCAGAAGTAAGAAAACAGGTGGACTATTTAAGAGGGGAGGACAGTCACGTAGGACAGGAAGAAGAACTTCAGTTTGATATGCAATTAATTGGGGGCACTGTCAGCTATTTTAAAATGTATGGTGGGAGGGAGGATTTCCTGCTCGTATGGAGGAAGCAACACTTGACAACAGAAACATAAACTTCATCCTCTTAAATCTAATGGAAAAAAAAAAAAACAGAGTGGCACACTGTTTGGGACAGTACAAGATTGAACTGTGCAATCACTGTACACAAAATGAACACAAATTGATGGGTGAATGCTTTATACAGTATTTTCACTACCACTGGTGATACTAATGCAGAACTAGAAAACTAATGCCACAGCTCAATATATGTATATTTTTAGTACAGTGCTACACAAGACAACAGTCCTGTTTTGTCTGGAGAGGGAAAATGTGAAAAAACTAACATAAAATTTTCTTCTGCCTCTTTAACATTTCTCTACCCTCAGTTTTAGTACTTGGATTCCTAACCTTGTACAGCTCCATATCCACATTTCATAGATTACTAGAGTAACAATCTGCATTTTGTTCCCCAAAGATAAAAAGGCAGCAGACCACAAAATACGTGTCCAGCCCTGAGTTCCCCTTACTTCCAACTGTGAGGCACTTCTACCGCATTTCTGGTTTTTTTTTGCTTCCACACTTCCTTTTCAGCACTGTTCACAGTTGGATGTAGACAAAATCAGGTGTTATTCCTATGACGCAGATAAACCAGAGCAGGAAGGACGCTCTTCCCCACCTCATCTTTTAGAGTGCAAAAAAATACTCGCTGGTGAGGCAACCCAGCGGTCAGGAGTTTCAGATTGGTTTGGACAGATGTCTGAAGCTGCATAGCCCAGTGACCTTTCCTGCTAATTCCAAGTATTTCCTTCTTTTTATGTCTTCCTACAGGCTACCTCTTCTCTCCTCTGGTTCTTCCATTTCCTCCCCCTCTCTGATGCACCCTCTATCACCAGGCATCAGCAGCGGGGTCGGATTCCACTCCTGCAGTGAGAGAATGAGATTATTTCCTTCTCCATCTCCTCTTCCTCTTCCCCCACTGCTGCCAACTCCTGCAGCAGTATTTTTTCTTAATGCCTCAGGTGCAGGAATTAGGTGATTACACAGGAATTTCATCTTCCATTGAGATTAAAATGTCCCTAGCTACTGAAAACCTAGCACAACAGAAGACAAATACAAATAGCAGTCCACCTCTGGATGTAGGGAAAAGGTTGTTTCCATTTCTGAATGCTTGAACTTGACAATATGCTCCCTGTTCTGGCTCTTCTTACACGCAGTGGCAATTGGTGCCAGTGTAGTTAATGCTGTGTGGCCATCCAGCCAGAGCACTCAGCTGTTGCAGTGCGAGGAAAGAATCAGTCCAAATTATATTTCTGTCTGAGCTGCTTAGGGCAGGAACGCCTGTGCACAGGGAGGCACAAGGAAAGGAAAATGAAGGCTGTGACAGCTCTGAACCCCTCGTGCCCACAGTGCTGTAGAAGTACTAGAGCTCCAGTAGTCCCTCTTTTTAGTAAAACAATCTATATAAATAGGACTTCATGGAAGTAATATCAGTTGATACTCTGAGCTTCAGACCCTTTTCATTGCTGCACACTGGAGTTTCTCCTGTCCAGTTGACAGAAATACTGATAACCAGCTGGAGGAATGATTCATGATCATTAAAAGCCCAGAGGTGGTGGGAGGAGAGTCATCTCTGCCTTAACTCATATGGAGCAGTTGCCTCTCACCTATATTTACTGAGCAGTTTGCTGAATCAAAACAACTGAGGCAGAAATAAGGTCCCAGCTTTTCAGTTTGGATTAGTTTGGCTTCGGAAGAGTGAGTTTAAGTGTAATTTCTATGGAGAATAGTTACAGAATAGATCTCATACTTGTGCTAAGTTGTTTACACAAAATTAATGGAATCACTAGCTCAAAACACTAAAGATATCACAAGTAAATAAAATTAAATTGGGGTTGTTTTACAAAATCAAGGCTGGAAGGAAAAAGGAGGAAAAAATTCAGTCTTGGTTTAGGAGTAGCCAGCAAAATACCATAAGCTCCTTTAAATCCAATGCTAGAATGTTTTCACCTCCAAAAAAATCTAGACTGGGTGGGCAGAGACTGAAAGAAATTGTCTGTCAACTAAATATTTGAGCTACTAAATAAGGACTACTGAAGAGAATATTCAAATATGAGCATTATTTGAGAGTCTAGCCACCTGCATGCCTACTCCACATTAACTGGTAAAGAAAACTGGAAAGTTTTAAGTATCTGCAACATGATACGGACTTTTTAGTGTTAGGAAATGTGCCCAAGTTCAGCCCAGGTTAGAAATTAATTGGGCTCATTACATGATAGATGTTGAGTTGTGTGTTAATCACACCCATTCTAGTTCCTGCTACCCATGTCTCATGGCTCCTCACTAAAACCTGAAGGATCAGCTGTAGGCTGAGGGTTGGGCTTCTGTGGAACGTATGTATTTTGTTCTCATTACTCATTACAAATATCTCTGGATCAGAGAAGAGGCATGGGGCTTGCCTCTGCAGATAAACAGGAGGTGTTGGTTCCCAGAAGATTGAACTAGTCAGCAGCAATAAGACTATCAACTCGTAAAACACAACAGTCCAAACACTGAAGCGGGATAAAGTGGTCTGTGTACCAGGCAAGGAGGTTAAAAATAAGCATATTGTGTGCTGTTACTGGTGGTTACCAAACAGGGAAGTTCTTTTTTTTTATTAACTTTTCAAAATGAATACTCTCTTGGTTGTTTTTTTGTTGCATTTGCAAGGAATTTTTGTTCCCAGATGTTTATTCTCAGTTCTTGCATAAGTAGCCCTCCCTAAATATGGTCCCAGCTCTATGCAATAATTAAGAGTGGTTTGAGGCTGCTTAGCTTGCTAGCTGTTCATGTCAGTCTCTTTCCAGCTTTGGACAGCTGGACAGCTCCAGAACACGCACATGTTATTCTGGTGATTTCTAGACATAGTGTGCCCCAGCAGCCTCTATCTTTTCTGAGCTTCCATGGCTGGTGGGGCATTTCGTTAAGAGTAAAGACTGTCAGTCTTCAAGAGGAAGATTTCCAGCTAACCCCTGGAGAAGCATTTCCCACTTGCCAATGTCTTTCATCACCCTCCCGGCTCTGAGAGGTGGCGGTGATCTCCCCTTGTCATTCAAGAGCAGTGAGAAGGAAAGTGCTCTCTTGAGACTGCACTCCAGTGCTGTCTGTGATGCCTTCAAATGTGCACCTGCATTTTTCTGTGTCACCGATGATGTTGTCTCACACATTTTGGGGATGAGAGAACCACAAGTCAAAGCAGAGGCCTTTCCCACCAGGGTGAAAAGGGCAGGACTCTTAGACAAAACCCTAGCAAAATCTTTCACTATCTTCAAAGCAAGTGACAATACATTTGAAATAAAATATTTGACCCATATAAGATAAATTCTGTTTACTTTGCTTGCATTAATAGTGTTGCCAGTGTTAGCAGGAGGAAGATGAACAAAATATGCACTACTCATTTTCCCTGCACCTGCATTTTCTCTAACACATGCATTTTTCACTTAGAATTTGACAGACTCTTTCAAGAAGAATATTTTTTTTTGCCCCATAAACCCCATAGATGATAGGCTGGCAGTAGTGACCAGCATGGAATAATTACCAATGTAACACAGTTAAGGGCATACAGAAGGATCTGCAGGATCCATGTCACGTACCTACAGTAATGAACAGGCTCTGGACCTCTGCATTTGGTCATTAGACCACTACAGTAGTGATGCTGTTGGTATCTGGGGCCTTCAAATGGGTTGCCTGTCAACATGCTTTTGAGACCCTATTTGCATGCAACCAAGTCTGAGCTTCACCTCTAGAAAACTGTGTTTATGTACCTGCTGCTCTTTCCCTCTAGGGACTGGCCCTTAGCTCTAAGATTTGTGGCTTGCAATTTCTTTTTCTGTGGTCCTCAAAAACAGGGAAGGAAATCCCTTTTTAATTTTGCTGGCATTAAGACCCCTGATCTCATTTAGGACTTTAGCCATCCCTGGCTGAAGAATGTGAGGATATGTCCCAAATCAGACATAACATTGTTGGGAAATGAAACAGTAGCTACAGATATCATCTGCTCAGGACACCATGTCAGTGCTATCCCTGGGCTGTGCTATTGCCAGCCGGATTTGCAGGAGCAATAGGAAGGTCAGCAAAGCAAAGCAGCCGGGGCTGGGTTATTTTTATTACACTCCATTTCCTTGCAGTGGGTCAAAATAGTCAGTACCTTCCAGATCTAATCAGCTTGAAATGCAAGTGAAAGCCGAACATGAAGTGCGTACCAGGCAAGGCTGGGGCAGTACTTCTGGTTAGTACTTGATCCTCTTTGTCATGCCTGGTTTCAGCAGCAAGAACTTTCGGCCCAGTGTGCACGCTCAAACCAGAAGATTTAAGGGCTAAGCCAGGATATCTCAACTTGTTTTAACATCTCTAAAACCCCAAGGCAAGATCCCAGGGAAGACACTGTGTGGGGCTGCAGATGGAGCAGGAGGACTGAGCTGCTGAGCCACTGAACTGAGCTGAGCTCAGCCTTCAGCCCCAGGCAGTCCTTGGGGGTCCCGGCAATGGTGTCAGGCCAGGGTCATGCCCCTGCAGAGAGCTTCCAGGCCAGGGGACTGAAAACCGGCAAACCATCCAGCCCCAGCAAGCTCAACCATTGCAATGAGGAGAGATGGTCTGATTTGAGGAGCAGTTACTGGTACCAGTAAACACAGTGCAGTAGCTGCTCCCTGCCCATTTACACTGCATCTGCTCATGAAAAACACCACTGAAAGTAGTCATGGGCCATTAACTTTGCCGGGCATTCCGAGACTGGGATTTGGATATTTTTTTTTTGTGTGTCAAAGATGGTTTTCCAAAGGGATGTATAACACTGTTCATTAAAACCAAAAAACAAACAAACAAATCAACCACAAAAAAAACACCCCCACCAAACAACAAAACAATAACAAACCAACCAAATAAAACTTTCTTGTTTTAATTTTCTTGTATAATTTTCTTACATAATTTAGAATTTGTTTCCCCTTCTCCACTGCCTGGAAGTGTGGGGCAGGGACCCAGCACAACATCTGGGAAGCTGCTGCTCTCCCCTGGCTGAGATGGATGCCCACATCAGCTCAGGTACCACTGGAGCTGGAGGGAGAGGTAGCTGCACTTGAAAACAATGCATAAAGCAGTGTGTGCTTAAGGTTACCACCTCCCACGTGGTCCTTTACTCAAGACATCCTGATATTTTTCTAGTTATGGAACGGGGATTTGGGCTGAGGTTTACTCTCAGAAACCTAAGAAATATTTACCATTTTGTGTAATAGAAGCAGAGTTGAAATGAATGATTATAATAATATCTAGGCACTGTGTTCCTGAGATTTTGCTACATGTAAACATAATCATAAGCATAATCAATGTCAGTGACTTCCATTTAATTCTCAGACACAGTCTGCATTTAAATGCCACACCAGATTTGACATGGCCAATGATAAATGGAATGCAATTAGTACCACTATTTGCTTTGATGATATACTAAATTATTTCTTACAACAGACCATTTATTATCCAATGCTAATGGTTATAATAATACTCTTGCATTTAATATGTGTAACATATCTTAAACTGTGCCAAACTGATAAGTTTCAAAAAGAGATATTAAAGTCTAGAAAAAAATCATTCCATGAATGACTTTCATCTAATAAATCCTTGTCAATTCCCAAGTCATCATTTTCACAAAGAAATCTTAAACTGTAAGAATTTTTTATGTATTTCTCATCATTACATAACTAAATAAATCTTAATTATGCTGCCTCTTAGTGATTTACAGTCACTTAATGAATATATAACCTTAAGAAAAATGTCTGAATTTAAATGTTCTTATGGCATTTTTAACATAATCCCTCTTCTAATGGTTAACAGGACAATGATTATTTGCCCCCCCCCAATTTATCATGAGCTTATCATGGTAATTGCAAATTAATGAAGAGAGGCAGTCCCTGACAATACAAATATTTGATGTTATGAATTGTTAGCCCTTATACTGCAACATTGCTTGCTGTGGAGCTTACTCAACTGCTCTGCACTCTGAATTTCCATTACCACCCCTTTTCCTTCCTTGCCTGAAAACCTAAGTGCCTGCACTTAACTAAAAATGACTTGCCCAAATTTTACCATTTCTGCAAGGTACTAAAGCTACCTTGTGAATGTCGGCTTTGATATTTCAATTTTGAAATTCCATGGTGGTAAAAGCAGGGCACGCATAAAATACTAGATCTCCAAGACTCTGGGCAGTCTTCCTGCAGAGTCAACTTCTACAGTGGAAAAAGCATTGAGTTTTTTAACATGCCACACTACCCTAACAGCCTCAAGTCTTTAAAGAAACAAAACAAAAAGGAGCAACACAAAATTGCCACAGGGAATTTAGAAATTCAACTGTAAGATTTATTAAAAAAGTAGTATCTTCATATTTTTCACTCATATTTGAATTTCCTCCTATCATCAAAGGACAAGTCTGTTCCACCTTAGTTTCATTGTTTTCCTGGTTTCAAGATAATGCAAACACAGCAAATTCTGGTTGTTATTTAGACAAAAATTTTTCCTTTCTTAACATAAAGGGTTATAGAAGGAGGCATTCAATTCTCTTTTCTGTGGTTACCTTAGTAATGACAAGCCAGGCCCTGGGCCACCAACACTGGGGTGCTCTGTCCCAGTCACACCCTACCACTTATCTACCCCCTTCTAAACCTCCTTCACTCTCCCAACCCTTCCTCCCATCTGCAGCCCCACCAGACACATCTCTAAGTCTTCTTACATTTTCCCAAATGTTTCTTCCTTCTATTTATCTATTTCCTCATGGTTTTTTTCCTGATCCTAGTACCTTCCCCCATTTCCTGAGCTTT